GCGGCCCCCCCCTGCCACCACCGCCCTCCGTCCTACCTTCTTCGCTATCGGTGTACGTCGACCGCCCACCGCCTCCTCCGTCGCCATCGGTAACCGGTTTGAAAAGTTTCCGCCGTCCCTCCCCCCGTTGTTTTCCCGATTTCGAGTGCACCGCCGTCGCTGTCGCGAAATTCCAGATGTTATTTCAAATGAACCGGGTATCCGAATGAGAAACCACGCGCGCTCGTCACGCGCTTTTTTCTTTTGCACCGACGTGTTTTCCGATTCTCCCCGTCGAACGGTGCTCCGGTCACGGGGATCGACGCGGGATGCAGCGTAAATAAGAAACGAAAAGCGGAACGCCGGGGGATGCCTTTCTGTCGCGTCAGTTCCTGGCTCTGCTAATTAGAGATTGAAAGATCGCCGCGGTATCAAAAACGAGAACGCGAACGGAACGCTCGGCGAACGTCGTCGAGGAGTCTGATTCGAAGCCTAAAAAATTTGAAAAACTTTTCTCTTGGGACGAAGGAGGCGCGTTCGTTTCGTTTCGAGAGAAGATTGCTATTTTGCTCGTAAATTCCCCGGTTTATTTAGACGATAAATCGCGAACTGGAGAGCCGCGTTTCCTCACGGGAACCGTTACACGCGTCCCGGAGACGACAGGACGATAATTATTTCAGATATCCCGTTTATTGCAATAATTCTTTCACACGTCTGACGTACGAAGTGGAACGGTTCACCGGTCGATCCTTCGATCCTTGATACCTTGTCTTCGTCGATTCTCGTAAAACTCACCCCCACACCAGTCTTTCTCTCAAATTTTATTTTAATTTGATTTCAACTAAAATTACAAAATTAAGCCTGTAAATATCATCCAAAACAGGTTGACAGAATGATCGTAGGGGTTCCCTTTCCACTGATTCAGGATATTACTGCCCACTTTTCTCGCGTTTTCTATTCCCGGTACAGTGGTGCAATCTTCGCCATAACAGTTTTTGCACGGTGTTCGTTAACTTCTTGTTTTTCTTAATGGCAGATTAACAAGTCAATCTTATGTTAATTTCCCGAGTAGTCGATTGTATGAAATACTGGAAGATGTGTAGTTTATGCATGACGATGCGCTTCTTCGAGCAACTATGCGACTCTTGAACAAACAGTCTTCGAACGGATGAATAGGTCGTGCAGGATCTATTGCCTCGTATGCTCGTTCCTCGCGTCTGAATCCCTCTGGATTTTTATTTCTGTGGCCACTCGAAACCATTTGCTTATCGAACGTCCACTACGAAGACAGTTCCGAGTTGAAATACTCGGTATGTGACAAAGCTGCCAGAGAATCTGGAAAATATCTGGAATGTTTCGAAGATTCAACAACTCTACCAGTCGTCTGAAAATTATTATAAATAGACTGCGGATCTTTATGCAAATTCACATTTTTATTAATAGAATTAATGAAACGGAAGTTTCGCAGAGGGCTGTCTCAACCCCTAAATATAATAACTCGTATCTTACTTTAAGTATTTCTTATATATTTGAATATCAAATGCATTCTGTAGTTTTTTGAGGATTAAAATTTCCCATAAATGCATAAACATTTCTACAGGAATGAGATATTCGAATATCCAGACTATCAGAGCAGACATTGCTACGATGTGACGAAGAAGATTAACTATGACGCATATTTATGCATTTTCCATCGAGCTTTCCCAGAAAAGCAGACAGAATCGCGTGATTTATTCGTCACACGAGTCGAAGGGTTCAAGAATTACGATGTCTTCTCGGAAAATTGACGCGCGTTATTTGTTGCAACGAAGACGCGCTCGAATGAAGAAATTGAATTATTAGGCACTGGTTGGTGACATTTACTGTCCATAAACAATCCATCCGAGGGATCGGCGTTTCTGCCACCTGTTTCGTTCCCAACCAGTTCCAAAGACATTTCAAAGACCGGTATTCAGATTTTCCATCGTTTCATAAATTGATCGCACCCGGAGAACTAATCGCGTTCCGATCTACGCGCTGGTGAAAAGAAGAAAACGTCTCGGGATTGCGTTTTTCTTTTTTTTGTGGAAACTCGTTCGAACGCAACTTTCCCGAGATTCGAATATTCTCGTTATCGCGTCAGGAAGGATCAAGAATCAGGCCAACTGAATATATTATTTTTTAAAATCGCTGTATAGAACGCTCGCGGTGGCTACGAATATTTCGAAGCGTGTCTTCGAAAGCGAAGATCGTTGTTTAAAAATTATCGAGTCTCGTAGACGTTCGAGTGTCCGTCGTATCGCGTTACTCGAACTCCATTAGCTCTCGAAAGCGGATTCCGTGCGGCATTATATGTCACCGCGTGCAACAGGAGATGCATAATTGATCGTAAGCATTGTTCGATGACGCCGGAATGCGGCCCGGGATTGAGCAATATCATTGTGTCTTCAGGATTTCAGCGAGGCCTCGGCAGGCGGGCGCAAATATTGCCAGTCGATTACGCTTTTTCTCGCGAGGACGTCAGCCGGCCTGAACAGAACGCGTTTCTTACGCTCCTGCGTTTTCCACGCATTCTTTCCTCGAAAAAAGATCCGCGATGTCGCATCCAGTGACTTCATCGCTCGTAATCTACGAAGACAGAGTCCTTTCTCGTGAACGCAGCCAGCTTATTATACATGTTTTTTTTATTAGGATCGAAAAAAATTTCAATGCAATTTCATCGTGTAAAACTCACGAGTTTATCTTCTATAGGAAAATTAAGTTTTGCAAAACATAAGCCACGTTTCCTGAAGCGTACAGAATGCACTATTTAATTCGAAAATGTGGAATAAAATTTTTATTTATAATGCTTTATTTGTGAGATAGTACTATTTTAGTGTAGATTATGGTAGTGTTTGAACGTTTGTAGGATACGCGTGAGATCGAGCACGATTTGGCTGGCGCGTCTGTCCATTGCTCACTGTTTCTACTTATGCGGATGTCCCACGTCGAACTCGATTTCCTCGAGAATAAAAATACAGGATAGACAATATCAAACAAAAGAGATATTAGATTCCACTATTTTTGGAACAGTCCACCTATATCGAACGTTTCGTCGCTGCAGATTTATTCAATAGTTTAATCGACGCGTATGCTTTGTTGTCACGCATTAAGCCTGTCACATATGCGATTTTCAGCCTGCGGTTAAAACGTTAACGCGTCGACTGTAACCCTAAATTCGTGTGCACATTTCACCGGTCGATGACTTTCTGGACATTGCGTACATAGATATAATTCAATGAACCGATTGGCTGTATTTGATTATACTGCTCGATGTGTACTCAATGCCCAGCCATTGTAATCCTGGAATGCTACGTCGAGTTTCGATGAAAATCTATTTTCTCGCGCTTATACTTTTCGTAAAATCCGGACATCAAGCTTCTTTATCAAGAAAAATGTTTATTGCTCAGCAAAAATACAAATCGTAGCTTTCGTACGGAAGTAAAAGGAATGGCAAAACCCCAAAGTTGACAATGCGCCAGCACTTGGCGGAGATAAAATGGGTTTTATTGCCTCGTAACCGACATCGTATCTGAAATCATTAAATTTCTGTTTAAACGTTTCACTTCTTCCGCTGCGAAATTTGGCCAGTTTTCGTTACATGCCGCGTCGTTTTTCAATTTTTGTTCCCTTTGTGGCCCCGGTCGTAGTTATAGGCTCAGTAAACACGGAACTAAGCCATTTGCTTGTTTCGGTTCGGTTAAAAAATCGGAAGCGCCAGGAGCGCGTGTTTTTTTTTTTCTACCCAGGTATTTTCAAAAATACATTTCCACGATAAATTGTTGTTCTTTTACCAAAAAAAACATTTCACGTTTGTTCGAGGTTTTGTAGAAAAAAAATCGCAGTCGAATCGATCCATCAATGTTCTCCTAAAATGTTTGGAAGAAACCCATGAATAAAATCCATATGTCTTGAGGCACGTGTAAGTAAATATGCAAAATTTAAAAAGGCTGTTGTAGATAGCGTTCAGAGTAGAAAAACTATAAAATCGCGATCGATTCCGCGGGCTGTCATTACGGTGGACATTTTACATCTCGACAGCTTTCCAGCAGCTAAATTAGAAAGTATTTCGTTTCCATTTCCATTGCACGGGCATCGATCCGACACGCGATATTTCGACAGCGAGCTCAAGGGAAACAACACGATCACGGCGTTTTTAGTTTTCTTACTCTCCCCCCCGCATCGGCGCTTGGAGCCACGTTCGCCGCGGTTCGTGCGATCCGGAAGTAGTTTTCACTGACCATGATCGTCGAATCGCGTAGAAACGGTGGAATTTTGCGTCCCCGTGAAAGCGATCGTTGCATAAAATTTAGTCAAAGACGCGTTTAGCCTCGTTAAAACGGGTATTAAGCTGGGCCAGGAGAGAGGCATGCCGCGCGTTATCTGCTAACTATGTCTAGCCACGATAAATTGTTCACCAGCCAGTTAATTACCGTGCAATCGGCGCGAAAGTAAAACGACTGATTAGATAAATCGTGACCGAACGTACGCTCCCCTGGTTTCTCTAATCGCTTTCCTACGCTTCGATATTTATAGATTCTCCGCTTCTTTTTTTCCTCTCCTTAATTCGAGTTTATGATTTCGAAATTATAGGTTGAACGGAGGACACTGTTTTCCACGGCACACTGACGCACGCCGTAGATATGCATACGGTAATTTGCGCCAGGGGGGAAAAAACGCAACCATTAGATACTTTGCTTCTAATTATACTGTTACACGATTGCTTTTACAAACGAATCGAGAATCAACGATGAGATCTTTTTTTTTTTATATGTTCTGACGTTAATTAACAAGGCAACATTGTTCGCAAACGAAGATCAGTAAGAGTTTTACTATGATTCCGTTCAGATCCAGTCAAATATTCGTGTTCTTCATTTTTTAATAACGTAATTCGGGGCGTTCGAGTACCTTCAAAGTACCTAGTTGTGGGGTTTACGTTTCGACGAACCTTTTAAGTTCCGTGAAATAAAAAACTAAACGAGAATGTACGTCGACGCGCTCACCGTTTCTGACACGTGGGCTCCAGGTTGACGGTTGTTCTCGCGTCCACGGTGGCCGATTAACAATCCCCCGTTCGTCGAAAAACCAGAACGCACTACTGTCGGAGCCACCGTGTATCGGGGGGCGGCTCGTGGTCTCGTGTGTCGCGCACAGATCCACGTGGTCACGGTTCACGTGTCTTCTTTCGAGGGGTGAAAGGAGCGCGAGCCGCGCGCCTCCGCAGCCTTAATGGGACTGAAGCGTCTTCTCCGGTGTCAGAGCGTTCGCGCTACTTCCACCCCACCCCCCGGTCGACCGTCTACCCCCACCACAGGTTAGGTTACCTCGACGTCGTCCTTCTCCCCCGCCGTGAGCGCCTCCAGTACGCTCCGACAGCTCGCGGCGTTTCGGTAAGCGCCCTGAGCTTGCAATCCTCTTCGCCCAGCCTCGAGGTCACCCCTCTGCTCTGTGTCAATTGGCTTCGACCTCCCTTCTTCTACCCCCCCTTTCAATGCCCCGCGGTCAATTCGATTCACGTTTATCATTATTATTATTTCCATGGACGCTTTCTTTCTCGCGGTCCCTTTTTCCCTTGTGGTTAATTAGGCTCGCGACTTTCGTTCACCGGAACCCTCCACGTCTCGAGGACCTTATTCGCGCGCAATTTCGATTCCGCTCGCTCGGAGCGTCGAACGCGCCGCCCCCTCCCTCCGGAGTCTAGAGACTAGACCGTCGGAGCAACTTTGTCGAGATGCAAATGAAATTTAATCAAAGATACAACTCCATCGTTGCCCCGCCCCGAGGTATCGCGGCCTTATTAGATTCCTTAATCCGATGTCTAGCTTCTTTAACCGCCCCGATGGCACTCGGGAACCCACCGGAAGCGGTTATACTCGACTTTTATCTAGATTTGCGAAAGTCTATATAATTAGGGAAGATGAAAGGACCAGGGTGCAGCGAAACGAATGTATATCCAGGCTTAGGGTTGGTAAAACTGTATTGTAAACAATAAATATTCGAGTATCTTAAAAAAAATAAGTAAACTACCTACTGATCCTTTTAAAAAATTTAGAGTATTTTTAGGCACGACTGGGGACACCAAAGCAACAGATGTTTGCAAGATACGCGAACCGCCCGATCATCGTCGATCAGGTTCTTCTTACGCATCCTGGTCGAGACGATCTTCGGAACCCACGGATGACTATGATGATACGCAATACTTCTCGTCGATCAGGAAACGTTCGATCCGCTTTCTCGCGAATCTATAATAAAAGACGAATTATTATCGACCCGTTAAAAATGCCGGACAAGTTACGGGTTAGACGATCTCAATCCACTCGATTTTTCTATCCGGGAAATAATTTGCCCCCGATAAACAATTTAGATAACCCGTTGCTATCTGTGCGCCTCTCGTTTAGATGGATCACACTTAACGTTATGATAATAACAATAATCTGTGAATCCTCCTTCGAGTCAACTAATGAGATATTTAGTATGCGCGGTATGCCGGGTGCTTCGTACTTACCCGTTCATTTACCTTTTCAGCTCTCCCAGAGGAGTAGTAGTTGCACGCTGTATAAATTATCCTGCGCAAGGAGCAATCCGCCGCTCGTCGTTACAATGTAAAAGTGATATTGTCGCTCTTGGGGGGCGATCCCCGTGGGAAGAATCGGGGAAAAATGAGACTAATTTCGCTAAATTCGCTCGTACTCGTTTTTTAGGGACGCGATCGTAATATATCGTAAACGAGTCTTTGGTCAGCTATTAAATCAACACGATACCATAATCTCTCGTTAAGAACGAAAAGGGCTGCTTTAGACGCCATGACATTCGATGGTCGACCGAGTGCTTGCGAGAGAGCGGTCCCTCTAGCGGCGAGCGCTGGTAACATCACTTTTTTCAGTCTATCGCGTTGCAAACGAAGTCAAAGAACGCTGTTCGGTCGCGATAGACCAGAATTGTTCCAAGTAACCGAAAAATCGATCGGTCGAAAGAAAAAAAAGACGATAAATAATGCACACGGGAGGGCCTCGCCGGCGATACTCCGTGGCACCTGGAGCTTTTCCAAACGGACCTCCGCGAGTCTTCTCGTAAAGTTACAGTTGGTGCTTCGCCGATACGATTGGCCATCGGCCATCGAGAATAATGGGGCAGTTGGCGAGGGCCGATATAAAGGGAACCAAGCCTCGGCGCGGCTTCGGTGTCTGTCGTATTCGAGACGCCCGGGGCTAAAACGGCCACGGCCGACAACATCGTTCCAGAATGCCCGGGGCGCTTCCAAACCCACCGGACGATGCTGCTCGCATACGTAAACGTTAACTTCGTCAGGGACAAAGTGACGCTCGTGTACGTTCGCGTGGTCCACCGACAGGAGGGGAGGGAGGATGGGGGTTACTTCGTCGTTTCGAGACTCATTTGAAACGTTCCTTGATCAACGTCCGCGGCCCGTTTTTGTCGTCGGCCTCTCGCAGGCCGTTCCAGGCACTGATTATCCAGTCGGCCGTCTTCCCCACCGCGCACACGACGAAAGTCACCGAATTAGTCGGAGAATTAGTATGCCTTTCCGTGCATAAAAAGAAGCACCCGACGACGACTTTCATTACGACTTTTTGCTTTCGGTTCCCGCGTGAGAAAGGAACGTTCGAACGCGTCAAGATTTTAATCGTCGACGAATCGTTCCGAAGGACGTTGGAATTCATCAGAGATTCGCTTTAAAAAGTAATTAAGAGTTTATATGGTTTTGACGGGCCCCTGAAGTATGCTACTTGTTAGTCAACTGGTATGAAGAACCTTGCCTCGGTTCCACTTTAAGTAGATCTAGCGCGGCATGGAGTCGTTGTCAGACGCGGCGCCTCGAATTTTACGGAACAGTAGCGATCCTCGTCTATCCCACGATCGATAGTTCGTGTAAAAACATACAAATGGCACGGAGGAGACGATGTATAGATTTCTGTCCGAAGCGCGAAGAGATTAATACACCTCCAACAGCCGTATTAACTGCTGTCTATGGTGATCGATCGGTCGATAGATCTATTCGGTGGCTGCATTCCGCGATGGATTTCGACGTCGATTAAATGGAGAAAAAAATGAAGACACCGGTCGTACGCAAGATTGCATCGTGCTTTCACTCGTCGCATTATCTTTCGAAATCGCTTGTATCCGCGTAGAATTTATTAGGCATTTTGGTATTCGGTTTTTTGCAACGTGTGCCATATTCCTGTCCGGCTACATAATCTCCCGGTAACCTTTATAGCCGACGTGTGACACGTTCGGGAAATATTAACGGATGTTTGCGCATCATCGATAAATTGACGATCGAAACTCGTCAACGTTACGCCGACGCGCGAATAAAAATAGTCATCCATCTTGTTGTTGTTCCCAGCCACCGTCTGTAAACTACCAGACGCTTAATATCGGTTTCGATCGATGATTTTTATCTCTCGATTCAGGAGAATGGGTAAGGAAATTGTGCAATAAATAAACTTTCTTCGAACGTTCTTTTAATAGTATTTCGTTCGCGTGATTACGTTAGTGGCGTACGCTCATACAAATGCATGATCTATTTCCCTTTGTTCCCGAATTACAACGATTTTTGCGTTCCGGTAACCGTAGACTGATTCCATTGAAACGTTTGCAAACAATGCTTCATATCTTATGCATGGCCTGTTCGGCTGTAAACCTAGTGTTCTAGGAGTGTTTACAGTTCATTCTCTTCGGGAGAACGTCGTGCATTGAATCTAAACGGAGCTCCGTTATATTGGGTCGGGGAAAAAGAAATCCATTATTTTTCACTTATTGTTAGATGGCTGTAGTGATATTGATCAAACAAATTGAGACTTGTGGTTGTTGGAAAAGTGTCATTCCGTACTGAAAAAAATTTTTTTACAGTTTTTTGGTTGGTCGATTCAGTTGTGAAAATTCAGGATATTTTATAATTTTGACAACCTAATACTTTGACACACTCGTCAAACGTTCGATCAATTTATTTTGAAATTGCAAAGATGTCCTTCATAAAAATTCGAAACGATATCGTGGAAACTGACGCGATCGAGCGAAGGTCGACCCCCTCCGGATCCTCGAGCATCGTCGATCCCGGCCAGGCTATTTCTAGAAACCTCGAACTGGCTCCAAATGGTCCTAAAAAAAATTAAAATGGAAAACGTTCTGTGTCGCGAGCATAATTAATCGGCGCTGCTCGCGACGGGCATTTCGAATCGTTTAACGAACGGCCGTAATCCAAGGTGGGATCTTCGTCGAACGGTCGCGCGATCGGTAGGTACGGAACGAAAGAAGGAAGAGGATACCTGGTGCAAAGCAACTACGGAGTAAGAGGACGAAGAGGTCGAGCAGAGAAAGAGCAGGAAGGGAGGCGTAATGGTGGTCACATGCCCCGTGGCGTTCTCGCTTCGTTCGCGGCGAAGAACAAGAAAAGAGAGGGAGACGGCGCTAGGGACAACGATTCGGGCGAAAGAAAGAAGAAAATAACGTGATGTTTTTGTATCATACGATATACAGACTGCCGGCATGGCGGACCAGTATACGCCCGGGGCGTCCAGCAGGATGTAACGAGGAGAGTCCGAGTGTTGCCCGAGGGTCCACATATTTTAGGGAGAAGACTCTCCCTCCTCCCCTTTGCCCTCTGGTTTGGCCCTACGTGTCTTTGAAACGGGTCGTGTCGTGCCCAAGGCGAGAGCCTCGGTTGCCCGACTCTCTCTCTTTCCGTACGGACGGTTCCTCTTCGATCCTTTACTCTCGTTCCTTTCTTTCCGTCCTTTTATGGATAGAGAGCTTTTATTGTACGAATCGTGGTGGAAGTCGTTCGCGGGTCGGAGCAATTAAATCGAAGACGCGTGTCTCTAGGCGCGCACGTGCGCCTCGATTCTCACTTGCCAACCTTTCTTTTTACCCCCTTGAAACGTCTATTTTTATTCTAATTTTCTAATTTTTAAAATTAATATGTTTCAAGGGATGTTCCCCGAAACGGTTTAAAGTTCTCTTAATTAGTCTTTGGGTGTTCGATTTAAGCGAATTTCAGGATTAATTAGCATTCATGGAACGCGTAGAAATCTTACACATTTCAAAATACAATAAAATAAAATGTTACATCGTGGTGTCTATGATCCCAGTCGTCGAATGAAAA